GCGTAAAGGGTAGCCTGGGCGTTTCGCACGGGACTCCCTCTCCACGTATGATCCCGAAGACGAAGGAGTTGGGAGCAGCTCCGCAGACGGAGGGCGGGCCGCCTCCAAAAGGGCGGCTCTCGCCACAGCGCCGCTCGCAGTCAGCTTAGAAATTTGCAAGATTCATTGACTGATTCAAGAATCGCTGCAAGAAAGAGGGAGAAATCGCGGGGCGCCCTTCCCTGCCCTCCCTCCTCCTCCCCTCCTACTCCTCCTCCTCCTCCCAATCCTCACTCTGCCCCCCTCATCTCTCCTCCTTCCCTCCTTCCTGCAGGGGGTTCGCTGATTCATGGCGGGTGAGTTTCACGTTGTGCTTCTTGTCCTAGCGCCGCGTGCACTCTCCTGAAACATTGCAGGAGCTTCACGAATTCAACGAGTCGTTTTCTTTCAAAGTGTGGCTCTTGCCTTAGCGCCGCGCACACTCGTGCTCAAATTCGCCACTGTTTCATGGATTGAAGGCGGTTCCTTTTTCAACTTGGGGCTGTCGCTTTAATGGGTGCTGCGCACATTCCTTTTGATTTGCCAAACCTTTACTGCTGCCCATGGTTAGCGTAACAGAAATTGCGTTTTGGAGCGAATCAGGGATGTCAGGGCGCAACAGTTACGAGGATCCGTGGGATTGAAGTCCCAAGAACGGCGTTCTGGCACGATTCAGGATCGTCAACAAACAGCAGTCGTTTGACTCGTGGCGTTCAAGTCCCGGAAACGGTATGTTGGCATGCTTCAGGATTGTCGAACGGTTGTCTCCCAACGGGGCACTCCCCTCAGTGGGAAGTCATCCTTGTATGGGCCTGTACAATGGGAGCGTGGAGGGAGGATTTACTCCAACATCGGCGATGAATGTTGGGTTTGCAGCGGTCCCCCTCCTCTTTCTGCTCATTATTCTGCTCCTGCTCCTGCTCCTGCTCCTGCTCCCGCTCCTCCTCCCGCTCCTCCTCCTCCTCCTCCTCCTCCTCCTTCCTCCTTCTTCTCTTATTACTATTCTTAGTGTTCTGTTTATTATTCTTATGAGTACGAGTGTTCTACTTATGTTCGTATTGGGAGTCGTCTTCTGAAACTGGTGTTCATACCATTACTCGTCGCCTCATTCATATTATTCGTCGTATTATTCCCTACCCAGGCTCTGCCTAGAAGGGTTCTTACTCTGTAGGCTTAAAGGGGCCGGGCAGTGCAAAGCGCCCTGGGCGGTTTCCCCAGCATCCGCCCCGCGGTTCCCCCAGTTGCCCCCCCTGGGTTCACCCAGCTTAGCTGAGCTAAGCTTAGCTTAGCTGTGCCTTGCGTATCTCATCTTAGCTTAGCGTATCTCATCTTAGCTTAGCTTAGCTTAGCTTAGCTTGGCTTATCTTAGCCCAGTCCAGCTTATCAAAGCTTAGCTGAGCTTAGCAAAGCAAAGCAACAGCAACAGCAAAGCAAAAGCTCAGCAAAGCAACAGCAAAGCAACAACAACATATAAATAGACAAGGCAACAACAAAAGCAAAGCAAACGCAACAGCAAAGGCAAAGGCAACGGCAAAAAAACAAAGGCAAGAGCAAAAGCAAAGGCGATGCGAAAGTGTAGATGTAGATGTAGATGTAGGTGTATTGCAGCTGTGGATGTAGGTGTAGGTGTAGATGTAGATGTAGATGTAGGTGTAGATGTAGGTGTAGATGTAGATGTAGATGTGAGTCTCGCTGTTGATGTTGATGTTGATGTAGATGCAGGTGTAGATGTAAATGTAGCTGTCGGTGTAGATATAGATGTTGCTTTCCTAAATGCTCCAACTCCTAGGTAGGGTCACACTCGGATAAGTATTTGATTTATTTTTTCTCCTCCTGCTCCTCCTCTGGTTCCCTTCTTATAAGCAAGGCCATAAGGACCTCACTGGGACGATGGAAGGGGCCCACTAGCCCCTCTTCTGGCCCCGCGGATCCTGGGCCTGCCTGCGAAGTCGTTTCTCTCCGGGCGTTCGCCCCACGAGAGCAGGTGTGGCGCCCTCGACGGCTTCGAGGAGGGAGGAGGAGGAACAGGAGGAGGAGGAGGAGGAGGAGGAGGAGGAGGAGGACGAGGCCAAATTCGACTCGACCGATGATGACCTCCCCCTGGGTACAAGGCTCGATGGGGAGGCGCCAGCTCGTCGTTCGCCCCCCCCCCCCCCCCTGGGGAGGAGTTGGACTCGGGCGCGTCAGATGATTTGCTTGATCCTGGGCCACCCTGGCTTCACGGCCCGTCCCAACCCAACGAGCCTCCACATCCTCTTCCTCCTCCTCCTCCTCCTCCTCCTCTGCATCTCCCTCCTCCTCCTCCTCCTCCTCCTCTTCCTCCTCCTCCTCCACCTCCTCCTCCCTCGACCCTACTGATCACCCGCATCCTATCCTGTCCTCCCCATCCTCCCATTCTCCATCATCGCCCGACCCCCTCCGCCCCCCATCCTCTTCGTATTCGAATTCATGTTCCTCCTCCTCCTCCTCCTCCTCCTCCGCCCCTCCCCCTCCTCCCCATCCTCCTCCTCCCCTCCCCTCATCATCATCATACCAATCACCACCACGACCACCACCACACCATCATCATCATCATCATCATCATCACATCATCATCATCATCATCATCACCACCACCACCATCATCATCATCATCATCATCATCATCATCTCCTCATCACATCATCATCATCATCACATCATCATCATCATCATCATCACCACCACCACCACCATCATCCATCATCATCATCATCATCATCATCATCATCATCATCATCACCATCATCATCATCATCATCATCATCATCATCAACCTCATCCTCATCCTCATCATCATCATCATCATCATATCATCCTCATCACTCATCCTCTTCCTCATCCTCATCATCATCATCATCAGCATCAGCATCAGCATCAGCCATCAGCATCAGCATCAGCATCATCATCATCATCATCATCATCATCATCATCATCATCATCATCATCATCATCCTCATCCTCATCCTCATCCTCCCCTCGTGCTCGTCCTCGCCCTCCTGTTCGGCAGAGCTGGGCGGGCAGAGGGGGGGTCTCGCGCCGTCGCCGCTGTAGACGCCGCCCAGCAGCTTCCTGGCGAAGTCCTCGGCGTCCTTCGGTGGGTTCCTGCCGGGGCACCCTCGGGGGGGAGGGGGGAGCCAGAACCAGAGGAAAGGGGACTGCTACCTCCACCTCCTCCTCCTCCTCCTCCTCCTCCTCCTCCTCCTCCTCCTCCTCCTCCTCCTCCTCCTGGTCAGCGTGTCGTGCCGGTGGCCCCTGCCAGCCGCGCCGCCGCCTGCTGCAGTCGCCACTGCTGCAGTCGCCTCGAGGCCCCGGCCAGAGCGCACCCCCAGGAGAGGTCCGAGAGGTCCGGGGCGCAGCGGGATCAGCATCGCTTGGTTTTTCCCAAGAAGAAGACCCAAACATAATAGCGTCGTAACTCAAAATCAGGACGGCACGCTTTTCGCCGTTTTCGGCCCCTGGAGGCCCTCGCCGGGCCCCAGGACCGTCAAAAAACGACTCAGGGCGAAAAACTGGTCCTGGGGAAATGGTCGGGACTTCTGGGGACGCCGTCCTGAAAAAATCAGGACGTCGCATGTCTGAGGACGGAGAAGATGAAGAGGCGGGGAAGGGGGTGGCAGAAGAGGATGGTGGGGAGGAGGAGAGGAGCAGAGGAGGAGGAGAGGAGGGGGAAGCAACGAAACGAGAGGGGGGGGGGGCGATACTGAGAGCAGAGCGGGAAGGAGCGGGGGCGGCACGGAGAGAAGCGATGCTGATTTCCCCTCCTGAAGTGCCTCTTCCTCCCCAGCCTCCGACCATCTCCCCTAGACAAGCGCGTTCCAGCACTCGCAAACTATCTGCTCGCATCTGGCCTGGATCAGGCATGGGGAAATCTCTACGATACAGTACATCGATGCAGACATGTGTGTTTTTTTCGGACGCTTGCGAGTAGGCACTTTGCGAGCAGCGGAACGCGCCCGGTGATCCCCACGGGAGACGGGACAAGCCGGGAACGTTGGGCGTCGCTTAATGGGGGGGGGGATCAGCGGGGGGAGAGGAGGTGCATGCTTCGGGCCCTCGAGGCCCCGTTTCGGGCCCCAAAGGGCCGCTTTCTGCAGCCCTCGCTGCCCCCTGCCCCCCCGCGTGTATCGCCCCCCCCCCCCCCCCCCCCCCCCCCCCCCCCCCCCACAGTACGCGACGCCCAAGGATGCGCGGGCCCCCCGACGGCCGGGTCCTCTCCAGCAGCTTCCTGTCCGCACCACAGATGCCCGCCACCCTGTCCAAGTCGCCGCCGTAGTCCGAGTAGAACCGCGTCAGCGCCTGCCGAGCACCGCCAAGCGCGGCGGCAGGTCGGGGCAAGGCGTGACTGTGATCCCTCTCCACTTCCACCTCCGCCTCCTCCTCCTGATGCCGCGCCTGCCACACTTTCCGAGCCTTGACCGTATAGAGACCGCGCTCAGAGACCACCCCCTGCGCACCCCCTCTGGGGTCGAGGAAGTGTCGCGCCTGCCACGCCTTGCGAGCCCGAAACGAATACATAGGGAGACCACCCCCATTGCACCCCCTGTGGTGTCGAGGACTTGCAATGCCTGCCACGCTTTGCGAACCAGAAACGGATAGGGAGACCACCCCCAGCGCACTCGATGTGGTGTCCAGTGAACACGCCAGGCGTGCACTGGCGCTGTTAGTGGTGTCTTATGTGGGTGCCCAGTATGTGTGCTGTGTGTAAATGTGCTGTGTGTGTGCTGTGTGTAGATGTGCGGTCAGCGCTAGCTCAAGTGAGCAGGAGAAAGAGAGGAAGGAGGAGCAGAAAGGAAGGATGAGAAGGGGAAGCGTGTGTGTGTGTGTGTGTGTGCGTGTGAGTGTGTGTAAATGTGTGTGTATGAACGCGGGTGCGCCGCGGGTGGGAAGAAAATGAGAACCCCACTAAGCATATGGGGAGTGATTGTTGTATGATTTTGGGGATGCTCGGTTCTTCGGTTTTC